TTATATTCAAAATGCCTATGTCTAATTTTAAATATAATTATTTATTCATCTCATTTTTTAATATATATATAGTTATATGATCTTTATAGATCTATTTTTATATAAAACTTTATTTGATTTAGTTCATTAAGAAGTCTTGAAATCAAAGATAGTGAATATCTATTTTTAATAATAATCTTATTGTATCTTTAATAGTCCACACACATTTGTATAGATCCATTTTTTTTCTTCACAAATAAGATAGGAGTCTTTGTTAGACATTTAAAATAGTATATGAAGTTTTTAGCTAAATTCTTGTTAATGTACTTCTTGAGTGTAGCCAACTCATTTTATAATAAGCTATAAATTAGTCCAAATGGTAATTGAATTATTTTTTGAAGATCAATAGAATAGTCATAGAGATGATACTCTAAAAGAATATCTATATTTTGTTTTTTAAAAACATCTTGATAATCTTAGTACTGGCTTGGAATGCTAATTGAAATTTTTTTTGATCAAAAATAAGTATGGCATATATAGCAAAAGTTGATCCTTCTATTACAACATGCATGAAAGCTCTTGCATCCATCAATAAAGATTTGGATGTAATGGATTTATAAATTTTTACTTGATTAGCAAAATTTTGGACTAAATTATAGGAAAAAATCAAGATTACAAGAAATTTATTCTATTAAAAGATTATAATTTTTTAACCTCAATAATCCTAAAATAATTTAATTAGAAAGAAATATAATTATATTAAATATTATTAAATTATTATAATCTATAATTGCTATATTTAAAAGAACTATTTTATAGATTACATTTTTAGAAGAAAAAAAATGACTATCTATGACTTTTACATGACTACATTTACTTTTTTTAAATAATAATATTTCTTATTTTTTAGGAAAGGCTTTGTTTATAAGAACAAGTTGAGGCTCTAAAATCTAATAAGGCAAAAACTTTGTGATTTTTTGGTTTTAAACAAACTTCTATTATAAAATAAGATAGAAGATCTAAAAAAAGAATAAGATCTTTAATAGGTATTATGCAAGATTTTAGTAGCACAATCCCTATTGTAGTTATAAAAAAAAAAAAAAAAAAAAAAAAAAAAAGATTTATTGCCTTCTTTGACCACTATGCTCTTCATTCTATGATTTTATTTTTTCTTTCAATAATATTGAGAAGTGTATTTAGGTTTTCTATAATATAAGTACAATCCTTCTTGAAAAAGTTGGGTCTTTCTTACTTAATAAGAGATTTGAAATATAAGTTGACTCTTACTTACTTAAAAAGAGATTTGATTTTATTGGAAGTAAAAATGACTCATAATGGTATTTCAAAAGTTTTATTTTAAAAAATTACAAAAGCTTCAACAATAATTTAATAATAAGGTGGTCCTCCTCTCTTAAAATGGGATATTATTGATGGCTCAGATGACCTATCAACCACCTTCAAATCAAACAAAGCTCATGGTATATAGCATATATAATTTGCCTCATCTTATATTTCTTCAATATATGCTAACCGATCCACATGAAACTTGTCTAAATAAAGGAAAGTAATGTCACAAACATTCATACATATATAAATAAAAAAAAATTAGCTAAAAAATAAATATAGATGATTTGATATTATCTTGTAGAAAAGCTATTCAGGAGCTTCATAGATGTGTACTTGATTTATACATTTTTATAATAAATTGATAGGTTAGAAATATAGCCAACAAATTAGTCTTATGTTGCATATGTGTTTAGCTTGTAGTATAAGCTAAAAATATGATGCACATATAGAAAAACTTTTTTTATAAGTTAAGAAATGCGTCTTAAAAATTAGACACAAATTGGAGGTCCTATAGAACATTGCCATATAGCTCCTACTTAGATAATATATATATAGAGTCAAGAATGATGTCTTCTTCACTCTTCTCAATGCCTTTTTAGTCTTTAGTCTTATTTCAAGACTTTCTAATCTTCTTGATTTTGGCAATAGCCATTCTAGTGTAATATTATACTATCTTTGAGTGATTATCTAGTCTTTGTAAATGACAGAAGAATTTATTGACCTTTTAGTTCTTTGACATTCATGTCCTTAATACACAATGGTGCAGACAAATAGCAATAACAAATACCCTATAAGTATTGTCAAAGGAATCAAAATAAAGTACATATCTTGCTACTTGCATCATTACTTTGGTTGAGAGTTTAATAGCATAGTTACATGAAATGCAACAATTTGTAAGCATCCTCGTCCTAATTTGGAACAATTTGTCACAAGAGTGGATTCCAACAACAATGGATATGACTTACATCAATTAAAGAATAAGCATCTAAAATCCACATTTGCATACTTGCAAGGAATTTCAAATATAATATTCATCCATAATAACTGCAATTGCATTTAAGAAGACTAGTTACTAATATACATAATTGTAGACAATGGAAAAAAATATCAATTGGGGCATGATTGCCAATATACATCTCCATGCTTAATTTAGCCACTTATGTCACAATTCAAATGTAAGTAGCTCCATTGGTCTATTCTTAATTGCCTACATTAATTGTTGCCTTTTACAATATTACAAAGATAATTCACCACCATGTCTAAAATCATTGGTCATATAAGAAATTATTAAAAAATAGACAAAATATTAATAAATAAATAAATAAATAAATAAATAAATAAACAACAACAACAATAACAACATAAGTAAATAAAACATGTATAGAGATGTTGAAATTGAACAAATGATTGTTACAAGAAACTAAGTCTCTAATTATTATCTTAGTAAAATATTTTATGACAAATTTTGAAGAATATAGCATAAGATTGAAAAAATAATATTCTTTATTCATAATATAAGTTTCAAAGGTTTTTAGAAAGTTAAGTAAAGAAATAGGATACTTATTTGAATATGAATTATAACCAAAATATAAATATATTCATGACTCTAAATAATAAAAAAATTACTAAAAATTATATTATGTTGTTATATATTTTTTTCTAATGTTAAAATTTAATTTTGAAAAGTTTAAAGATTTAGAAATCTCTATTAAAATTAACTTGTAAAATGAAATAATTATTGCAAATCAGGACTAAAAAAAAATTAAAAATAAAAATAAAAACTTACAAATTAAACTACAACTTGGATGCTTGAAGAAATTCATTTTAATTAAATTCAACCTAATTGTATAAAGAACTAAAACCCCTATTTATATTGTATTCTAAACCATATTTTATGTGGTCTCTAAATTTAATTTTAATTTAATATTCAAGATTGCATTCACATATTACAACAAATACAATTTAAGTCCACACAAAAAATATTCCACCACAAATAATTTGGCATTTTTATTACATTGAATATTTGAACCATGTATTTTTTATCAAAAAAAATTATATAATTTAAAAACATGTCCTACTGAAGGATGTATAATCCATCAAATTTATAATTTACAAAATGATCTTTATTAGAAAAATATTTGATTCTTTCTCTTATTCTCTATCATTTAAAGAAAAAACTTAATTTATATTTTTGAAATCAAGAACAAACCATGTTCATTTTGATAATAATTTTTAATTCTAATTTAATATTAAAAATTATTTTTTATCCAAAATGATCCTAATCTTTCAAAAGATAACAAGTTTTTTCTAAGTTTATAAAATAGCACAAAATAGGTTGACATTTTAAATACCAATTATATTTATTATACTCTTACACAAGACTTATTCTAACTATATGAATAATATATATATATATATATATATATATATATATATATGGCTTAGGCTACGAATACATCTCAAGTTGCTATATGCATACCTATTATATCTATATACATACCCAAAGTTTTTAATTGGTTCATCTAAATTTTGTTTATCTTCTCTCGACAAGGGTGTTCATCCCCCTCCTTTTCTCTTTTACCTTAGTGCGGGTCTTGACTACCTCCCTCTCTTCTTTGCCATCACGTGGATCTCGGACCTCCACATTTCTTATTTTTCTTACAACTTGTGGACTTTGCAATCTCAAAAACTGCAAGTAAGCTATTAAGATCCAACAACAAGCTTGTTTGCTAATGCTCCAAAAGTTTGTGATGTATGCTGCTCTTTGTGGCTTTTGTACCCATTATATTCTAACAAATTGTCAAAACAATACTTGATGTCTGTATGTTCTAGCCTTTGCTCCGAGTGTCAATGTTTGTCTCTCTTTGTCAACTATTTGTTTGCAACTTTGTTGATAGGAATGATCCACCCAACTACAAATAATCCCACTCCTCTTTCAACTGCTATCTCTAACTTTTGGTTCTTATAGTAGAACTCTATACAATTTGCAATCCTCTTGTATTCTAAGTAGGACACAATGTTACTTAAGTTTTTATTATAAATTGCAAGCTTCTTCAAAAATATCCTCCTCTCTTTTGTCAACTAAGATTTATATTCTTTTATTCCAACTCCACCCAAACTAGATCCTCTACCAATACATTGTTGCTCTCAAATCTACAAGCCAATTGCTCCCTCTTGCCTATAATCATTGCCATCTTCAACATTGGCCTCAATGAAGTAAGAAAGGGAAGGGGACCAAGACCTACACTGAGGCAACAAATAAGAGAGGGACCAAGACCTACACCAAGACAAGGACAAGAAGGAGGATGTCAAGACACACACCAATGCAAGAAAAAAGAGGAGGATGTCAAGACACACACCAATGCAAGAAAAAAGAGGAGGGGGCTTAGACCCATGTTGGAACAAGAAAAAAAGGATCTAAATAAACCAATCAGGAGCCTTGTGCATATATAGACATAGTAGTGGGTGTGCATGTGGCAACTTGGGGTGTGCTTATAACCAAAGTCTCTCTCTACATATATATAGAGAGAGATAGACATCCATTAAAAGACAGATTTGTTGTAACAAAAAAATTAGTGTGTGATTTTCATTTTCCCATTGGATTGAAGGCGGACAATTGTGACCCTCACCTTACATGCTGCCAACTCATATTATTCTCACCTTCACAAGTTGCATACAAATTGAGACCAACCAGACGACCATCTGTTGCCTTGAATTATAATAAAGAATGCTTTCAGATTGCAACCATGCAATGGGACGTGCCAGGATGCAACAGTTCGTGGGAATTATCTCGACCAAGCATTGCTTCGGACCTACAAGCACTAGTCCAATGTGCCTACGGCTTGCTTGCGCAGCGGGCAGAATATAGAGGGGGAGCAGACGTGCAACCCCAAACTCTCATGTGGACTCTACTACTAAAGTCAAATGTCTGACACTACTACGCCACAAGAACTTCACCAACGCCAGTGATCCCTGTCTTGCAACTTGGTTTAACCTATCCACACCCTCACAACACTATTCACAACTTACGGCTACACTACCAGCAAGCTGTTATAGAGTCTAAGGTTACGGCCTGTGTGGGGTTCTCATGTTCCCAGGCCCATTAACTCTCAGTCTCATTGCCAACTTCTCGCACTCCACAACTGAAGAGACGTCATGATACTCATTCCACTTTGCTTGCCCAGAGTTGGGAGTGATTTTAGTAATTGTATGACAAAGCTTCAAGATCCATATGATAACAACATTTACCACGATACCACCCCTAGAGCCCATTCTCATGGACGACCCACCCGCACGGCCCACAACGAAGTAGGTAGCTTGTGCGTTCTTCACATCCGAGAAATCAACAATGGCGTGATCAGTTCGTCTTCTTTCGCCATCACGGGCTGAAACATCTCCAGATCCCGGCACCTTTCAGCAAATCTTTTCAGACACTCACTTCCTGCCATCACACCTGTATGAAACGCACCATGCACAGTTCCAGGGAACCTCTCGCTGGTGGCTTCCCCAGCCCAGAACAAATTGTCAACTGGTGTGCGTAGCCGTTCGTACAGATCGTGGGGCTTGCCCACTGCGTCATAGCTGTAGCACCCCCTCGAGTTTGGGTCCGTCCCCCACCTCGACACCAGATATTTGATCTGCACCACAAAACACACAAACAATCACAATCCTTGTCACCTTGTCGCACGATCAACACAATATCCGCGCCGCTACCTACATGCTCCATGCAATATGAAATACTTCTACGTCATCCATGGCTCGTTCGTAAACGCGTACCGGCTCTGCAGCATTCGGCAATATTCTTTTCAACTGCCTGATAGCGAAGTTGGCAGCAGCCTCATTTGACAGCTGCTCAATATCATTGGCAAGACGTCCTGCAACCGGGTAAACTCCCCAGTAAGTCCATCATTCACTACCCCTGCATCTCTTACTACTTTACACCGTATCACACTCCAAGTAACTGCTGCCAAAACACATAACAACACTCTTCCTTACTCAACCCACGCAACGAAATAATGAATCACCTGCAGGCATGTATACCAACACAGGGTGCCCTGTTGCCTTGTGAAGGTTCAAAAAGTAGCTGCAACCGTACGAAGTCGGGGCAACAACTCCAAGGAACTCTACGTTCGGCCAGCACACTTCCTCAAAGAACAGGGCGATCTTATTCTCGTTGCCCACCCCTAAATCAGCAATTGCTGCCTCCTTCCACTCCGGCAATCTCGGCTCAAACCGCACCACATTTGCTTTCAACACTCCCAGAGGTAATGCTACAACACAAGCATCAGCTTCGAATACCTTCCCATCTTCGGTGCCCACTCGCACTCCATGCAGGCGCCGACTGATCTTCGTAACCCTACAAACAGAAATAGAAAACTCTAAGCCAAACATTCAACCACAAAATGCGTCTCATGAACGTTGCCAAATGTACTGTAATTCCCAGGAGACCCGCTTTGGATCAGGAAAACTAAAAACATCCAACAGTACGCCCTCAACACCGCAACAGACACGTCCCGTCGCTCCATACTAAAGCCGTCTGGTCCAGATAGTGACCTAGTACTTCACGAATGCACCTGAATGCAAATTGGAAACGACCATGCCACTTGCCTATGATTGAATCTGATATCAAGACCTTCAGCAAGGGAGCTGATAACGGGCTCATAACCCTTCACCATCAAACCGTGCCCACCTTGAAGCAACTCCTCCTGTAAAACGAACCAAACCAAAGTTGCTACTCTTGCCCACAACTGCAAACAAACTCGCCAACCCAGGCAAATAAAATTGGATGACAAGTAGCCATCGATGGCATAAGTTCAAATGCATCAACCACACAGGGCAATACAAAATCAACTTCTACCAGTACTCACAAAATCACCACAATGTATTACCTCGTCCCAACTTTGAACGGAGATGTTGTCTGCGTCGGCTGCAAACCATCCTTCCATGCGACACAAATACCACTGCAGAACTTTGAATGCCATCCCCTCTTGCCTGTAACATTCACCACTTGTCAATCAAATTGACCACTGCAAACGTCAAACAACTCATACAACTTCCAATTTCAGACACCGCAAAGACCATGCAAACAAGGGGACTCCAAACCCGCATAATCCGTGGCCTGACCATCAGATTGACAAAAGCCCATGCAGCAAGAACCGAAGCCAACCTCAGATCTGGCCGTTTCTCCAAGACTAGTGTAAACGCCTTCATTACTGACATGTCATCCGAGTGCTCATCCCTGAGTTTCTTTGTCTGGATGACATCAACACCACACCACAGCAAGAGTGAAATTGTGCACAGTGTCACACATGAGAAACTTGCCATAGGATAGAGTAACACTCAGAGCATACTCATCTTTGTGCCTTTTCATACCAACAGCCCAATTTGTACAACATAGAAATAGACGGTAAAAACAGTACACTCACCTCTTCCAATAAACTCTCGAACACCTCCCCGACCTCCGTGACCAGAGATTGTGGAACTTGGTGACCATCCATGTCAAATAGCGCATAGCTGAACAAAACAACGATCAACACGTTCAGATCATTCCAATCAGGAATAACGAGAACCATAGTTAGACTCTCACTCTTGTACTGCCATGCCCACTTCCACGACAACTATCATATGAACTCTGTAGCAGATGGCACCCCAAATCACTCCTGACGCTAATCTCTCTCTCTCTCTCTCTCTCTCTCTCTCTCTCTCTCCGTACACAGGAAGAACCTGTGAAACCTTTGTCGGCAGCCGACGACGAAAACAATAGCATAGTGAAAGGCGCTCCCTACAGGTCACAAAGTAATAGGTGGAGACATATCACCTCTCAAGGAGCAACTCGGTCAACTACGATTAACTAGACTTGCTCTTAGCACAGGATGTGGTTAGTCGGTCACCAACTCATCTGTCCCTTTCATGTCCTCTACACAATCCCTTAAAAGAAGCCTCCCAATGTGCCCACTGGCTATATAATTACGGCACCCAGATACCAGGGATCGAATGTTACTGGCCATTCCACACCATATCCCCGATAGATACTCAATGTGGACCTCGAATCGCCAAGCAAGAAACTGGCCCAGGTCAATGGGTGGGATACCGAGTTCATTGGACTCACCCAATCACCTCTAACCGCGAGAAGAAATACTTCGGCCACCACGATGGACCATCACTAAGTACCAATATTTACAGATTAACTGCTGAACAAAAAGTGCAGAAACCCACAAGACGCCCTTCTTGCGATAATTAAACTGCCCCGATCACTGGTACCCGTAAATTTTCCTTATCGATGAGCCTTCTCCGCACAGAACTCTGCCCAAAACAAGTCAACTAACGACCAGTTCACTTTCGAGCACTACTGTATCCGTCTGCCTACAATCCCATGCCCCACATCTACCCGCCTTTGCACAAGCTTCCAAACTATCAAACCACCGTGCGCCCATCATAAACAACCACAAATCCGCATGCTCAATTCGGCGCATGTCCGAACACATGCACCAGCTTAACTTCTACAAATGGTGTCCTATGCACCCCAACAGAGTACACCAAAACCAGAGTGCCATACCTCTCTAAGTCATGGTCATACAAAACTGAATTATCGCCACATGTTCGATACAAAGGCAATCGTAGCTTGCCGATAACAGGTGCGAGAGGGTTGTCCTTGCATACTCCATGTAACCTACACCCCCAAACAGCCAAAACGTCGTTCCGTTGTCATCGTAAAACGGCGCTAAAATATTCAGGTCATTGCAGCCCCTCCAAATATCAATACCAACCAGACCAGATCAATGTCTATTTCCAAGATTCCCACGATTCAAAGTTTCAAAGAGATTTATGAACGCTAAATAATCACCATGAAGCCCCCATATCGACGGGGAATCCAAAAGAATAGTCAGTGTAAACACGACCCCCAATCCGTTCACGAGACTCCAACACCACAACCTGCAACACACACAAAAACAAAAAAGAAAAAAAAAAAGAAAAAAAAAAAGAAAAAAAACGTACGTGTCACATGAAAGTGGAGCGTGCTTAAATGCCGCAAGTGTTCCAAAATATGCCTATGAAACTGCACGCATTCACCCCTTTGCAATCGACCGGTGTTTCAAGAGATCACAAGACTGACGACAAGATGAGCTACTGTCACTTGACGCTCGGATTGTAAAACCAGCGCTTTGTCGTTTGTCTTTCACAGTATATGAGAAGAAACCTAGTCAACTGAAACCGAAAGATCAGACCACAAATATCCCGTGTAGATGTACCTTCACGTTCGAGTTGTAGAGAAATCGGGCGGCAGCGAGGCCTCCAAAACCAGCGCCGATGACGATAACTGTAGGGGTTGTACTCCTTACCCCACTACTACCTGCGGCCACGTCAGGAAGTCAGTAAAAATTGGCACCACTCACCCCTATGCAGTAGACGCGGCACTGCCTTTGGGAATTCGCAATATACTCTAGCACGCATCGGAACACTACCAGCAAAGATAGTTCAATCTCCTCTGTCAGGAACGAAAATCGATTCGAAGGAGGTGCAATGCTGCTGCAAGCAAGAATCAATCGAAGGGACGCTTCGATGCTTTCCTTCACAATCCCATGCTAGAAAAATCGGAAAAATAGAAAGAGCGTAACTAATTCTGGACGAGACTCAGAAAACGTAGCACAACCGCAGTCTACAGAAACCTAACCATCCCGGATTGCCTTCTCTAAGATGAGAATCCAAAGCCCCCTCCCGTTGAGGATTGGTACGATTCGGTCGCACTCTCTGATCGTTAACTACCTTCACATGACTTGGTTTTATTGACCACTGATAGATTGCAAGACCAACAACTGGTGGACTTCCAGTGAATACTAGGTAGAATGTTGGACGATAATCAACTGCATCAACCAGTCGTAGCGTCTTCCCTTAAACTAGTACAACCGCTCCTCACATATGCAGCTGTACAGCCGCAAACTTTCTCAACTTTGCTCAAAATGCGACTACACACGCACCTCCACACAACTCGCAACTAGTACCTCAACATTGTCGTGTAAACCATACTTGACACTAACCACGCATCAACCTGAGGAGAATGGCGAGAAGCCCAATAAAAGGACGGCAAACAAGCTACAAGCGGGATGGACACACAATCGCAAACCCAGAATATTAGCCCCTCTATCGTTACGAAGCTTCTCAGGAAGAGCAGCGGCTGAAAGCTTTAAATAACGGCAACGCACTTTCCCGACTCGAGCTCTGCACTGTCCAGTGAACCCACGGTGCGTCAAAACAGGTGATGTGAATGACCACCAAAGAAGGCAAGCGAAAGATCGAGTGACGGGACTAAGCGGTCCTCTCGGAAGCTTCTGCCAGAGCAGCTAGAATGATCCAAATCAGGGCTCAAACGGTGCAACCTCATCCAGGTCAAGGGTGACAAACTCCAAACTCCGATCGCTCGTTCGACCAAAACTACAACTACGGACTGAAATGCTGCAATTCGATGCACACTAAGTTGAGTTTCACATAGGGTTCCAAAACCACACGACCCTGAACATGCCCGAACCACAAAGGGCAACTAGATTCTTCAATAGTATGGTCTACACGAGCAGGCGTCACCGAACACGTAGATCGAGCAGGCGCCTCCTCTGCTTAATGAAGGAAAACGACTAAGGAAATTTCCAAGGGTAGATCCAGGAGATGCATTCGGGATCCAAATTAGTCAAGACGAGAGAGCACACCAGATTCACTTCTGGTCTTGAGTTGTTCCGCGGGCGCCATAGATGGCGTTGCCTGCGCTGCGAATTATTGCCTTCCAGTTGTGAAGCCTCAAAAGAGCGCCGAGGGTGACTCAAGGCAATACAGGCACACATGCAGAGAGTGCTTGAAGGCCCCGTAAATTCACGTTTTAGTCGATTCCCGCGAATTTCCGCCACGGCTTCTTCTCCTCCTCTGGCCCTCCTCCGCACGCCCACCAATGATCTGTCCGCCTCCCCCTCCAGCGCTACAAACAGGTTCCTACAAGCCCTTCCACGCAGCGACACCGCAGGTAAAACGTCAAAAGATAAAATTGCCGACTCCGAACCAGAAGCCTATGCACACAGATCTTGATTAGGGTTTGATTACCACTCCCACCGCAAACACGGCAATCACTGCACCGCAGGTCGCAAAGCCTGGCGGCTCGCAACAACCCCTCGCCAGATGCCTCAAGCCAAATCACCACATATAGATGCCGCAACCATCCACGGCCTCACACACGCTACTGATACCGAATCGAACGGCCTACAGACCAATTCCAACCAAATCGGGAACGGCGGAGCCACTGGGACGTCTGTCGGAGCACGAGGAGCGACGAGGAAGGCGTGGAGTACGTACGAAGACGGAGACCCGACGGCTATGGCGTTTCGAGTTTCGAGCTCAGGGCCAGAAGAGCTGCTGCAACAGAGCCTTTGTCTCGTTTGGCCCGATCGTTAGGGAGGGGGGGGGGGATGGACGGGGGCTCCAATACTGGTCTGGCCAGCCAGGGCCGGGCCGGGCCAACGGGGAGAGGGGGGCGGGGGGCAACCACCCGAGCCCCCGCTCCCCAGGAACAGGTCTCCGCGACCTGGGCGGGTCCCGGCGCAGTTCAACCGTCACTCACCGTCCGCCACGTGGGCGAATCCACCCTGGCCGCGCGGCCCCCAAGGTGGTCTCCGGACGAGAGAGAGCATCACAAACTGGATGGGCAGCCCTAAGCTCGAACTAGTCATTTCCATTAAAAACAACGAGAAACAAAGCCCATTTGGAGTCGCCCATCTTTCCCCATTCAGCCAGCCTGCATGTGCACCCCCCCCCCCTTCTGCACGTTAATTATATGCCTCCCAGTTAATTTCGCTCTTTCTCGTACCTGCCGCCCTGAATAAGTCCCCTCCCTTTCTGTTCTGTTCTGTGCTGCTGTGCTCGCTGCTTCCCACCAGCTTCATTCCCTTTCTCGCGTCAGACCTTCCGTTATTATTGTTCTTCGTTGGAAACCGCCTGCCCTTTAATTTCAGCGAGGGGCCCTCTACTCCTTTTCACCGCAAATTCTTATGTGAATGCCACCCTGCCTCATCACTTCCTAACACAATTTCGCTCTTGAATGGAACCGGAGGTGTTGGTTTGTTTGTGTACTCTCAAGTCACAAGGTTGTGTGTAGGGAAACGCTTGTTGGGATTGTTGCTCACGTGGTCAATTCTCACACCACACAATATACTAATTTCATTGTCAAATCCCACTTCTTTCACTTCCACGTTGAAAGATGACACATCCACGATCTTTTGTCTTTTCTTCCTTATCATGTCACAATGTGCACTTTTATTTATTTATTTGTGGATGTATTACAAAGTCATGCAATAGTTTTTGGGCACACAAACCTGAAAATGATGTGTTTATTTTCATGTGTTTCCACAATATCCTCTTCATGTGTTTCCCCAAAACTGTTGTTATTCTAACTTTTTGAGTTTTTCTTTTCTTTTCATGTGTCACCTTGTACTTTACACATTGTAGTATAATCTGTTGGATGTGATGATGTGTTCCCTCTCCCTCTTGCACTGGTGGACAAGTATATATTTATATAGAGAGAGAGAACTACAAGAAGTAGTAAGAATAATAAGAAACTCAGCACTAGAAATGATTCAAAACACATGTGTACATCCAATTGACCCTATTAAGCAATGCAACATTCAGCTCTGGAGTTCTAGAGTAAAATACTCTGGAGTGTAGTTGGAGGCTTGTGTGGCAACATCATCCTTTAGTTTTTCATCCAATTGGAGCTTGGACTCTTCCTTGGATTCTTGAAATTTCTAGCCATTCCAGTAGACAAAACTAATCATAGCACAGAATGTGGGCTTCACATCTTCACTTCATGAATGGTGGACATCCATTTTGGATTTTTCAATTTGGGCACAACCAGAGTGCAAATGAATGTGGCACACTCTTCCAAGCTCTCTGCAAAGTACTTAGATGGTTTGATTTGAATTCCAAACACATTCCTTGTTTTGACAAGGGGACTGTTCTATTGTGCATTGCAGAGAAGCAAAGAAGAACAAGGAGTTGACAACATCAAATCACAAATGCTGCCATTGAGCAATGACAATGCACAAGAATGCTGCTCGGAGTGTGCTGAACAGCATCCAAGTGAGGGATGGTGGGGCTTGAGCATTGGGAAGTGGGAAGGTGAGGGAGCCAGTGAGGTTTCCAAGTTGTCTGTGAGTGCCAAGGAATGAGGGGCCAGGTGGGGGTCCCCTGCAGGTACAGGCTCAGACATGGCTCTGAGGTGTAATTCCTTTGATTTACTGTGCACTCCACCCAGCAGGGAGAGTGCACATTCTGGAGCCAGTGCTGGCTGGGGTTGGGCCACCAAAGCCCAGCTTCCAAGTAACATCCACATAACTGTTGAGTGAGCTGCACAGGACAAGGAAGCACATCAGCCATATGGCACTGCACTCGCCAGGAAAGGAAAGGCAAGGAAAGGCAAGGGCATGAGAAAGTCTAGGAACTGTGGAATGTCCAGCCATGGCTGCTGGCTGTCCTGGGAAAGGAGCTCCCCCCCCCCCACTCTCCACTGGGGAGAGGACAAGGGAGGGGGGAAGGGAAAGAGAAAGAGAGGGGGGCACCACAAAATAGCATTGCCTCTCACCAGGTTTAGAACATGGGGGCTGGCTGAGGTGGCGGCCCCCACCCACTCATTCATACTGTACCTCAGCGACTCCCTTGCTGCACATGATCTTGCACTGCTCCCCCTTCCCAACTGCCTAGGCTTGGCTTTGCTTGGCTTGGCTTGGCTTGGCTTTGCTCACTCCACTTGCCTTGCTGCCCCTACTCCTGGCCCCTGCCATGTCATCATGGCAAGGAAGGACTGGCTGAGTGAGCGCTTATGCTCTGTGAGTCAGCCAATCTGCTTAAGTTGCTGCCCCTGCATAATTGTGCTTTGCCTTTTTCCCAGTCCCACAAGTACAAGAGGTGCTCTACTTTAGCAAGTACCACAAAGCATCCAAGCCCCATCCATTGCTTGCTTGCTTGCTTGTTTGCTTGTTTGTTTGTTTTAATTCTATTTTTTTGGATGCAGGATGATGCACTCGGGTCATTCTGCACCCAGAGGCTGGGCATCCAGTGCATCATCTTCTCAACACAGCCCCACAGGATGGATGATTCAACCTCTCTGTATGTCTCTGTCTTTAGCATTGTACCAACCACACCAGAGCCCCCCCCCCCCACACTCCTGTTTTTTAGTACTCCTTTTGCTGCTCTTGGGTGCTCGCTTCATCCATCATGTGAAAGCACTTTGGTTGAGCCCATGTGTGTCTGTCCACCACACACATGCTTCCACATCCAACACACATGCTTCCACATCCAACACACATGTAGTTTGCTTGCTGCTGCTGTGTGTATTTTCCTGATGGTATATACTTTAGTTTCCACATACATTTTGCACAAGTCCAAGTCAGAGTTTATGATGCACCAAATGGTAGTAGTCTGGTTAGTCAAGGGGACAAAAATGAAGACGTTGAGAAGGGTTTAGGGTTTGTGAAATAAAATAGGGTTGACATATTGGAAAATTTTGAGAGTTTTGTAGCAGATCTATAGATGTAATTTTGTGGGTTGGTGGGTATAGTTGCACTTGATGTATGTTGTGAATTTATGGTCAATTGAACAGTTAGATTAAAGTATTTGAAAGTTTTTGTGGGTTGAGGTCTCAGAAATTGGAGTTCGAGGGTCAATGTGTATTTTTAAGATCTTTAGTAATTTGTTAATTAGATTGAAGTGATTTTTATTTACTTATTTATTTGTTTATTTATAGAAACTGGACTTGATTTCCAACAATTTAAGTGAATTTTGGGAGAAAATCAACAATTCAAATAGAAGATATTTGTGCTAGAAGTTCAATATTTGGTTGAAATAGGTGGCCAACCAACACCTAAGAGAATTTTAGGATTTTTCTTCCATTTAGTAAGTGCAATTATCTTCAAATTTGTTGTATTTATTTTTAAGTAAGAAGTTGAGAACTATATAAATTTTTAAGTAAGATCAATAGTTTAATCAATAGATATTGAGATTCTAATCTACTTTAGGATTGAGTTGAGTTTGTTTAAGGCATAGGTTTTGTCTAGGGTTTGGTTTAGGATTTGGAATTTGTCTAGGATTTGGTTTAAGATTTAGGATTTGTCTAAGGTTTGATTTAGGATTTAGAATTTGTTTAGGTCTTAGGATTTGTCTAGGATTTGTTTAGGGCTTAGGATTTAAGATTTGTCAAGGGTTTGGTTTAGGATTTGGGATTTTTTTAGGGCTTAGGATTTGTCTAGGATTTGATATAGGATTTAAGACTTGTCTAGGATTTGATTTATGATTTAGAATTTGTCTAGGATTTGATTTAGGATTTAGTATTTATTTAGGACTTGGAGTTTAAGATTTAGCTAGGGTTTGATCTAGGGTTTAATTAAGATCCATTAGAATTTTAATTAGAATTAAAATAAGATTTAATTAAGATTTATTTAAAATTTCTCTAATATTTCTCTAATATTTTTTAAAGATTTCTTCATGTTTCTTTTGTAATTTCTTTAAGATTTCTTTTGGATTTGATTAAAGCTTCATTAGCATTATTAAGGTTTAATTGGAATTTTTTAGGATTCTATTGGAATTGTTAGGATCTTGTTGGTGCAATTTCTCCTCTACCTTCCACAACCACATGCTTGGCACATTATCAAGCAAGATTTTATGTAATACAACATCGGTTGTAAGTTACACAACCATGATATATAACACTTAATTATGGTATTAAACTTCACCTAATTCTATACTACTTACGAATTTAAATGTGTGGATGAAGCAACATAAATTCAAACATTTGGTGGTAAGTAATCTACCATGTTTGAATTGGATTTTTGCCACTATTTTTTTAATTTTATTTATTTATTTATTTATTTTTCTACTTGTCTACAAACAATATTTCACACATCCTCTATCTTCCAATCCTACTCCATTTACTCTCTGATTTTCCAATGCATAATCAACTGCCACATATTTGCAATTCTACTAATGTAAAAATTGTTTTTTGATTATTCATGTACATCAATTTGAAGTGCATGGAATTGGTTATATTGCTCATAGTTTAACTTTATTTTTACTAGGCCATGGATCTATTTCTAATTACAAAATGTCAAAACTCATTAACAATAGATCATTGACTTAGCAAAAATATCCCAACCTATAGGTCAAAAATGAGAGGAAGGGGGTTGATTGACAATGGATTAGCTACCATAAAGTTCTTAAAATTAAGGTGGTGAGATCTTATCAATTATCCTAGTTCCAACCAATTCATATGTTTGAAGGTTATTAATTGAAGGTAATGTTTTTATTTTTATATTTTTATGGACTTATGAATACATAGTTTAGTTTGACAAGTATTTACTTTATAACCATTTTTATATTTAGCTATGAATATTGTTGTTGTTGTTATTATTATTATTATTATTATATTGTTGAATAACTAAGTATAAATTTTGTATGGAGTGTCATTGTACATGGTGGTAATTTCACAATTAAGAGTTAAATTGTCAATCTCTTTGGTGTTCTTTTGTAAAATTGGACGCAATTTGTTATTCGTTAATGATTTAGAATCATGTTGGACCTAATTATGAATGTTGTTAAAGAAAGTAGAAGTAAATTTCTTAAAGGTTTGTAAGATCAAGTTGTTATATTTAATTAAATAAAATAATATATATTCCAAATTAAATTTATATTTATATATATATATATATCTATATATATATATAAATAATATATTACAAATAAAAATATCAGCTTTTGTAAAGAAATATCTATCCAAGCAAGTGATATTATGAGCCAAGAACTGTTAGAACAAATAGATGGTATTGGTAAATAACTAAAAAATTACTTTAAAATTTGATTTCCAAGCACATAACAAATACTACTTTTTTTAAAATTTAAACTAGAAAAATAATCATATTATGATATGTCTGCACAAATAAAACTTCTATACATACTTACAACATCATTAGAGTGTACAACTAAAGGTTATAACTAGTTAATCTAAATTTTACAATATGTACATATATTAGCAGGAAAAAATGCAATAACAAAAACCAACTTGTAATCAAAACTTCAACAACGAAAAACTATAGTAATTCCAAAAAACTCACAGGAGTTGTTATAATGATATTTAGACTAGAATATTTTTTTTGCTTTAAAAAATAATAATAATACAAGGTTTTTTTGTAAAAAAAAAAATAGAAAAGTAATAGAAATATTTTTTTTGTATTAGGAGTGCATTTAACAATACCCAATGCAATTTAGTAAATTATATTTCAAAGTTTTGTTTATTTGTCATTATTACATAAATTTAAAGACTTTACAATGATAGAAATCTTTTTATAATAGACATTAATGATTATCATATATTTTTAAAGAGAACATTTAAAATGTCATAAATGGTTCATTATATATTTATATATATATATATATGCACTAAAAATAGAAAATCACTCAACACATTTCAATCATGGAAAGATTCTTCAAACACTACTTTTGCACTTTATTCCCGCACTTTATGCTCAATGAATTTTGCCAATCTTTTCCACTCAACCCAGTTGTTTTCATATTCATCATTTCCCTCTTCTTCATTGTACAGCAGGATTTGGTACACCTACACAACATGGGCTCAAACACTTCCAAACTAGAACTGTGCAAACACATAAAATAGCCAAATAAAAACATCACTTCCATGACTTCCTGTCCTGTTTGCATCCCCAAAGGTAACTTCCACTTGGTGATATCACATCAGTTCCTAGGCTCATGGGATGGGGGATCTGAGATGGGTGCAAAGCTCATCAAGAACTCACAAAAGTAGGAGTCAATGGGACAAGGTTTGACTAGTTGAGCCACTAAGTAAAAACAACCTATTTTTGAGTTCCATACATATGTCTATACATATATTCAAATTTGTATATATGTGCCAAGTTATGGTCAAATTAAATGTCATTCATAAGTATGTGGGTGACATAAACTTTATTCTCATTTCTAAACTCAACAAAGTTTTATAACATGTAAATGGGAAGATGCTTATCATAAGGTGTGGTGGAAAAAACATGAAACAGAAACTGTATTCTTCCAACCTACTTTAATATTAAGTTAGAGAGGTCTGACCAAATCAGATATTCCAAGGGTGGTGACAATTCACTGAGAACCCAATGTTCAAATGAAGTGTTTCATGATCCACTCATTCCTCTGCCATTCAAGAGTTTCGAAAAAAAATTCAAAGACAAACGACCTCGGAGTATCCTAAAAAAAGAGGGGCAAAAATAGTTTGGGAGATAACCAGAAGTATTGTCCACTTCTTTCAAGGATTTCAAACGCCTCTGAGAATTATGGCTTTAAAAATGGAGTCATGCATACGGATTCATACCCATTGCATGGAAAGGATTTGAAAATCTCCGAGATACCTAAATCCGCCTGTATCTTCCGATTATGTACAAATGACCGTCATTGAAATATCTACAGATGACCTCTATGTCCACCTATGATTGAGAATCATTGTCTGATCTAATTATACTAGTCGATAGTAAGGAATATAGTGGACCATTACATACATCATAGGTCACTGACTAGTGACCTGAAGATTTCTAAGATGCTCCAACTTGGACTTGTTTGCATACCATCGGCTTCAGAAGCTTGAAATTGAGCTGCCCCTAGGTCTTGAGCGTCTGTTGGGCTATAGCTTCACATAGCTCTTCTTCATTGAAGAGTACTCGGTGAGATGCAACTCCTCTGTACGCTGGACGGGACAGTTCCTGAGGCTTGTGAGGTGTGTCGCTAGGCTCTTGAAAAAGAGGAGCCACAAGCTGGTTCAGATCAGCTAAAGGAATACGAGAATGTAAAGGCTTTGGAGCGTGTCTTGGAGCCTGAGGTGTGAGAGGATGTACATTCAGTCCACCTCCTGGTGCTTCACTTACACTGGGCACACCGAAATGCGATAACTTTAATACCAAATATTGAGCGCACCTTATGGGTACAGATAGTTAAGTTCATATGCCACCAAATAGAATCACTATCATATATACAAAGATGAGGTCTACACATGTTGCATAAAGAACAATGACGCATCATACTATATTACAGTATCGCTGGACCGATAATATCGTGCGATGAACCTACTTCAAGTAAAGATCTTGGTGACGTCTTGGAGTACATAAACCAACGGTCTTCTGCCTGTCATGATCTGGAGTATTGTAGTTAAAATACCACTGCCTAGCAATTTTAACCTGCATAGAAGAGCAAAAGGTTCAGGGCGACATAATCTGAAGGAGAGTGAAGACTGATCAAGGTAAGATAATCTGGCACTCATAAAACAAGTGCATCTGTATTTAGAATGATTCGCAAGATCCATCCAGCACAGTATCAAACTGAAAGTAAGAAGATGCCGTACTGCCTGCTGAAGCCGTCGACAAACATGAAACACGGGTTTCAGCTGATCATGGCGAAGTCTACACACAATGTATACCTGCAAAAGATTGTACAAACTTCTGACGAATAAACGCAGGCGAAGCAAGAGAAACCAGACAAGTCATCAATGACGTAGTACGTTTTTGTTAAAACAGAGTAGGAGCTTGTGAAAGACGGAGGAGTTAAAAAGATTATGCTCAAGATATATGCACGACCATTCTAAACAAAACGACATAGAGTATGCTTTACCAGAAGCTCAACAGGTAGTCTTTCCAAGGGAGATTCAGCAGATAATTGAATCTCCGACTCACGCATCGGACTCTGCAGAACCGTAAGATGAGCAGCAGGCGTTAGAGGAGTTCTTGAAGCGAGGAGCTTCTTCCTTAAAGGGCACGAAGGGCCAAACCTTTGCATGGTTGGAATAGGGGACCTTGCTGGAGGAGTAGAAAAGTTTACATTATTTCCACTCTCTACATCTGCAAAAAGAGGCCGCCTGCTGACAGTGGTATCTCCAACTACTCGTTTTCTTCCAATGGTTGTACACGGGGTTCGAGGTTTCTTGGGGTCATCCACTAAATTAGCTAGCTGCACAGACCTCAGACGCCTGACTACTTTTCGTTTCCCAGTCTTCTTCTGTGTGTTTTCGGTCTGCAGATAGGAAAACTCTTAGAGTAGTGAGACACGAAGTTCCGCTGAAATATGCATAAGCCTACAATAAACTTACAACATGTAACACCAACCAGTTAACATCGTTGGTTATGAAATTCTATGACACAGTTGGCTTCGTCCGAATGGCTACGAAAAAATTCCACAGGGCAAGTTACCTTCAAGTCGGCATCTCCTTTGGGATGATGTTCTGAGACCTTGGGACTACAATCATTAACAGTCCTGTTGCATGTTCACATTGCATGTCGTAAGTTAATCAAAAGCTCTCCAAAAAGAGCTACAAGCCAAAGAGTCCAGGCACTTTGTTGCTGAGACCTACGTAAAAGGCATAGCATCCAAGGTCTATTGGCAATAAACCCATTTTAAAGATAAACCCCCATAGATAGAGAAAAGGACGACATCATCATTACGTGTAATCTCAAAAATAAAAAACAGTGGCGAGGCCTAAACATGAAACATGGTTCTGACTGAGCAAAAGTAAGAGGCTACTTTCTGAAGTCTTGCATTCTATTAATTTAAGTCCGAGAAGAGAAGAGACTCGTGCGGGAGTAGGCAGAAATTCAACAGAATGACACCTTCAGCTCCTGCAATTGCAACCACTGGAGGTATTCCCCACATCCCCGACCTCCGCCAAATGTTGTCGAGTTTTTAACATCTTAATTCTAAGGTTTGAAGCCACAAGCGATTAATACTCATTTTTACTGCGTCTATGGCAGCTCGCAGCATTGACTAGTTAAACCCTCTAGTGCGAGAAGGTATATGGATCATTTTAGTTTGCTGAAGTTGCCAGGTTCATTCATGTAGATGGTGTGTTCATTCCGTATCCTCACAATCCCTCAAACGAACGACTGAAACCGTCAATTCATTAGCCAGCTTCTCTACCCCAAAATGAGAAAAATAGGCACAATTGTGGACACCTATGAAAGTGCAACAATGGCTAGCGAATACTCTGTACCTCCTACTACTGCTTCTAGTCCGCTTGGAGCTCCGAAAATCCATAGAAATGAGTCAGTCCCGATCCCACGCCGACTCCAGCTTGTACGTTCCTGGAAGCGGGAGCGTCATGCGAGGCAAAACATTGCGTGACCTTCACAATCGAGAGAAAGGACAGAGGAGGGGGAAAGAACATCTCGGTTTCCGACAATACACGGGATAACACGGACAAGAACGAAGAGTGCAAAAAACGCCCCGTACAAAACCTCTAACCAGACCTAGATCGAAGCTCCATATAGAAAGCTAAGCTTGCGCACCTACGTCTTTCTACCTCCTCCTCCTCCTCCTATTACTACTACAACCAAGAGCCAACAACTTCCAAACAGAACCAACAGCCCGTGCAGTGTCAACACACTACTGCAGCAGAGTCGCAGACAGACAGACAGACAGAGATGTCAGAGAAATGCTGTGCGAGTGCAGAGAAATGCTTACGACGAGGTTGGACGGAGCGCATGGCGAGGCTCAACCCGAGCAAGAAGAATGCCCCTCTCCCACCCCACGCGAGAGGGCAGCAGCAGCGATGGCGGCAAATTAAAGTCAGGGTGGAGGGAGGGAAGAAGAAGTCGACGACGAAGACGACGAAGAAAAAAAAGAGAACGAAGAAGGAGACCATGACCGCGCAGAAACTAGTCTCTCTCTTGGTCTGTCTACAGTTTTAAATGACGGCCTACAGTTGTTGTTTCCATGGTTCCGCCCATTTAGGCGGGAATTTCATAAAAGTTTTTTTTTTTCTTCTCTTTCGAGTAGTTCCCCTGTTCCTCGAGTTCTCACCTCTCGTTCCCATGTTCCCCAAGTTCCCATATCTCGACACTTTCGTGCCCATGCATTGGTAAAAAATAATAATAAATAGCACTTCTCATCTCATGCCTCGTAAATATTTCTTGTTTTACCCTTCCGAGTCCATTCGTTGTGTAAAAACTGTTTTAGAGTCAGATTATTTATTGATTTATTTATGTTTTTCTTTTACTTATTTTCTTTTTGGAAACACTATAAAAATATTTTAGTTTAACTCCTTTTTAATTTTTTGTAGACGATGTAATCGTTTAAAAATCATCCACTTTCAATGTTAACAATTAATTTTATACGTGAAATTCATCAAGATGGGGCTGTCACAGTTAATAAGCATAACAAAAAAAGGTGGTTGAAAACAAATACGAACAAATGAAACAATTCGTATTCATGTCTCAGTATTACGAGCTTTATAGTATTATTGTTAATTTCGTTAACGTTTTGGAAACTATGAGGCGTATTTGTGTTCTGAAAATGGGTATTCAAATACAAAAAGGATTAATCTTCCAAAGAGCATGGTCTAAAGGTATTAATGAATCAAATTGCAATTCAATCGAGGCTAACTGGAACATTGATGGCTGAAGGGTAAGACACATCGGTGATTCATGTAGATGCCAATCAAAAGTTGCTGCTTAGTTAATGAAGCAGGTACACCAACAAAGAGCTGCTAAGTGCAGCCTGTGCCAAGAGTGTTTACCCAAAATCCTTGATGACTTGCCATGGCAAACTTCAACAAGCTTATCTTCAATTTCGTCTGCAGCTATGCATCTAAATTTCTCTACTGACTGACGACCATCTATTACGTTATAGTGAAACTTGAAGAGGCAAGAAGCGACACAGACTTCATGATAAACAGTGAGATGACAAGTATTCATCCTATGCTACGCAAACTACTATTTTCATTAAGTAGCTGTACAAGACGTGCTGGTTAACCATTAGCATGAAACACACGAGTCCAGGGTTGAAGCATTTCACGTTTCAAGCTTTCACAAGGTTGGAGGGCAAAGCAGTCCAAAGAGGGACATTTATATTACAGTGATAGCATGTATATCAATAACAAGCTGTAAAAAATCAATCACCTCACATAATGTACAAGAAGTCTGGAACCATCAGTCCAGATATGCGGCGTATACCACAAGCTGATATTAATCTCACACTACTCGATAACCAGGTGGATTATAACCCACATTCTAAAATAAAATAAACAAAACGTAACCGTTACTCAAAACATGCTAGAATGCGATTCTTGTGAATCAAAACTCACTCCACAACGTAAAGAGCAGTTCAGATGTGAAGATACTGCGATTTTGTAATCCTCAAAATTCCGATCCTTTTTTCCCAATTTTAAACCGTAGGCGTCGGGTTCAAATTTCTACACCACTGTTAAGCTGTACGGTGAAAGAGGAACACCTGAGATTTGATACGGGGGCCTCAATCTGCACTGTCAACCCGCAGCTGCCGACGTGTTCGCCGTTTCGTTTCGACCGGCCAACTGAAACAGAAGCAAACGCTTTGGAATCTACCGACTGCACATAGCCGCATCCCCAACTGAACTTCTCCAAAGGTGAGTGCAGTAACTCAACCTTCGTGCCTGGGTGCCTACCGCCAATGGTTGGGGTTACACCAAGTTCTACAGTTGGCCGAACTAGCACACCAAGTGGCTGCCACGCCAACGGCTGTATTATCTCAAGTGTAGTTGATCTTTCGGGCAACAATACTGCTGGAGTAAATCGTGTCCCCCATTTGCTCTTATATGAATAACTAATCTTTGTGTCCCCAGGTAAGCGTCCAAGAACCTGTAGAACCCCGCCCATTGCAGTGGTGAAGACACTACCAGTAAGGCCGTCACCAGCCACATAAGTCAGCTGTCCATTTGGAAACTGCAGGTCCAGAAAGGAACAGGAAAGAGGGTTCAGAGAGGCCATGGCCATAGCCAACCAACGCCGATGTTTCGACCATACTGCTGGACAAAGAGAGTGTAGTCCCTCCTTTCGGTCAAAACCGTACCACAGGCAATGTCGTTTAGATATGTGGATTGGTAACAAAAGAGTCGACGCCCGTACAAAAAGAATTGGTCCCAATTGCAAAAGAAAAAGTGGAGTTGACGTTCCACCATGTGTAGCTTCCATACGCCAAAGATCACCACGAGCAACAACAGAAGTTTCGATATCTTGAGTACGGCTTGAAAACGTTGTGCTTACAAATGCACTGCTACGATTGCCAATTTGGCCAGCAGTCTTGCCAAGCTTCGCCATTACTTCTTCATCAGCAGGATCTTCCAAGTTCTGACCTCTCTGAAGCGTCAAAAAACCGTCTTCCTTTTCACCATTGCCTTTCTTCCGGCTAGTACATTTTGAAGTCATCATTTCCTGGGTCCGCGAATCGCCATCAACTAGCCTGCCCTCAGAAAGTACTGGTGTAGAGCCAGTATGTACATTTACAAGTGGCACCGATGAAGACATTCCAAAGGAATGCAACGCAGGGTTCTCTACCTTGTCAGTAGGGCCAGGAAATCGTTGCATTAAACCTCCCGCCAGATCAGACAAATAAGCTCCTATGGAAGCTCCAGCTTGTCCCACATGCGTGCTCACATCTTGACCCAAATGTTGCATAGATAAGACTTCTGGGAACCCTGCACCAATACTCAATGGTTGCACAAACTTCGTATCTGAACCAAATCCAGAGCCGGCCAGGTGGGTAAGGTTGTTCACTGAAGAAGACCATGGCCATTGACTTGGCAGAGATGAAAGCTGAATATGTGGGGAGGGCAAGGGAATCGAGAAAGATGACAAGCCGGAAGGAAAAGGGAATTCAGGTAGTGGGGGAATATGATGAGGTATATGACTTTGGAGAATGCCTCCCAGGCCTTGAGCCACTGATGCGAGGCATTCCACAACACCTTGCCCTTGCCTCTGCATTCCATCCCATGCTCCGAGGTAGTGCCGTTCTAACTCCATTGTTTCCACTATAACACGCTCAAACTCTTGGATCTCGATCTTACACTTGTGAAAGACTTGTCTGCAAGAAATGTATTGATTGCTTCCACTACAACGAATTCAAGCAATTGATAGCTTACTTCACTCCTCAAAGTCGCCGGAACACTTTCAAGGAAACCATCATCAACATAACACACTCCCACAACTAAGTCTGCCTTAGTATTACTGGACACTACCACCTTATAAACCCACACCCGTTAATTCACTAAACACTACTTGAGCCTGCTGTCCATCACATTGCTCAACCTTCACTTGATAGATTTGCAGTTGAGATCACTGCTGTGATCAGACCTTTTTAGTACCTGCAACAAAAACACATTCAGTATTTTCTTATTTTTCTTATTTTTTTGTTAATAACTTTAAATTAAGGTTAAATACCCGGAAGACAGAAAACAGAGGAGGAACACGATAAGACTAAATGAGAATGAACGAAGTGCATACGATACCACTCTAAGCTGTGTAATCAGGCAGCGAGTTGTCCATGCAAGAGTGCGTAGACATATGCAGGTTGTAAATACACATAAAACAAATCTGGCTCAATCAACTTCGACATATGCACAAACTATCGGAAACCAACAAATATTGCTACGGTGAATGTTGTTCAACTCTCCACAGAAACCTAACGACAATTCACCGACATTCCAAACCACAAACATAAAATTACATTTTCTTATTACATTTAAAGACAGAATGAGCTCATTGCACCGACAAAATAACTTTCCACACACAAGACTGCCCTGACGAGGAATTTAACCATTAATACTGAAACATCCATGAAAACAACCAAATGAACTCCAGAACCAACCCATCACAAAAAGAAACATATCCGAAAGCCAAGCTATGACTAGAAGCCGAAGCTCAACCCCCCACACCCAACCCTCAATTTCCATTCAACAAATCTTGTTACTGGCACGCATCTCTCAACCCTCGCAACCCAACTCACAATTAAATTCCAGCCTCCACAAACCAAAATCTCCAACCTAGATCACCTCTACACTCTCACCCTCCTCCACACATCCCACCAACAATCTCACACACTCCTGTCCCACATCTGACCCACCGCGCAACCGATTCACACCAACCCTATCCCCCATCCACCACCCAAAATCACGAAAATCTCAAAGACACCCAACAAACCTGTGAAATTTCCCCGAATGGCCAATTCACCACCGCCTCCATCCGCAGAACCAGCGTGCAGAAGACATCCCACCGAGCAGCAGCAGCAGAAGAAGAAGAAGAGCCAGCACCCACAAGAGCAATTGGACAGTTTGGCCCCAGAACAACACACAAGTGGGAAGAATAACCCTACCAAAGAGGCAGCACTTCAGGGCAGTTCCAAAACGTGGAGCGAGGAAGGTCTAGCACTGGATTGAGAGAGAGACAGAGCGAGCGTAAGGGTTCCATGAGGAAGGGCTTGGATTGACGGAGTGCGTGTGCGTGCGCGAGTGAGCGAGTGAGTGAGCGTTGGCGCTGCCACTCCACGAGTGGAGCACCGCGAGCGCGACCAATGGATCGACAAAAGGTGGCCACGGCGATGGCGCTGCTGCTGCTCCTTCTTCTTCCTTCGTCGTCTTCGTTTTCTTCTCCGTCTGGTTGTAGTTGTTGTGTTTCTGGTTTGTTGCCGCGGGCTGTCCAAGGCGGCTGCCCTAACATTAATTCATTCAAGCATTTATTGTATTGGAAACAGTTCTCATTACAGATCACAGGTTATGAAACAAAGTGTCCATTTAATTCTTTATTTATTTGTTATTTATTAGACGTGTGTGACAATGACTTTCTCAACACGAAGAGCAGGTTTTGGCTACGTTTGTGTAAGAGAACGTTTATTCAATTGTGATAAACAAATCTTTTGTATTGTGACAAAAGGTCATTACCTTTCATTCGTCAATGGTTTGGGGATTTTTTGCCTTCGTGTAACTTTTCTCTTGAATTTATTATGGTGCATGGTTTGATTTTGGTACGAATTGTTCATTGAACCACCAAAATTGTTTGTATGTTGTGACGACTTTTTATTTTATGTTTATATATCTTGTTTAGATTACAAGAGTTTATGATTTAATTTTAAAGTTGAGTATAACAAATAATTGTATCTTGAAGGTTATAATGGAGATGAATCTAAAATGTTCTTCAAACTATATTATTATATGAAAAGTTTCAATTAGGGCATTGTGATGTCTTTGGTGCAATAATGGCTAAAGCTTGATATAATTAGGATTAGTAGAGGTTTTGTTGAATAGCAAAGAAGAATTGTCTCAATTGGAATTGATAGAGGCTTGGATAGTACATTGTCAAGGACAAAGACTCGATGAGAGAAAATATACACAACAAGGCTATCTCGATATAATAAGTCAAAATATAAACAAGTAGGTATATTAAAAGGAAACTGGAATGGCTATTGCCACAAGACAAGAAACTAAAGACTCTTGAACCTAGACTAGAAGGAAGAAAGGAGTTGACAAGAGTGAAGAAGCCTTCACTCTTGTCTCTATATATACTATCTAATTAGGAGCTATGTGGCGACATTCTATAGGACCTCCAATATGTGTTGACTTTGTAGGACACATGCCTTGAATTACAAGGTAAGTTTTTCTACGTGTGGGCCACATAGTTAGCTTGATCTTCAAGCTAACAACATGTGTGGCACATGGCCAACTTGTTGACCACGTTTCTAATCCAAAAAGTCAATTAAAGACACCTATGAAGTCAAAGCAACATCTAGGAAGTTTCTAGGAAGCTTCTATATTAAATATTATAGAATTAACTTACTTTTATCTACTTTTACTTACTTCTACCTATTTCTATATGTAATTATTAACTTACATGATTATGGCCGTGACATTATCCCCCCTTCTAGAGATGAGTTCTACGAGGAGCGGTCATCATATATTGAGGAAATCTATGATGCGACGAATTGTATTCGCCACATACTCTGATCTCTGTTCTCTTCGAAGATGATTGATAGGGCCTCTCAACCATCGGTAGTGTCCCATACCAGGGCAGGAAGACCACCCAGTTATTTGATCATTGTTGAGGCCTTCGTAACTTCCTTCGAATAGAATATTCGGAACACCATCAGGAGTTGTTCCTACCTCTAATAAAATCACCAAACATCGAGAGTCCCTTCCCAAATCGTGATACCAAACGCGTTGTATCTCACCATCTATTCGAGGAAGAACATGTCGTTCTTGAAGATCTTCATCTCGATTGCGTCGTCTTGAAGGTTGTGACAATCGTAATGTCTCGTCCGACACGTCAGCAAACGAAGGTTCTTGAGTTGAATCCGCTGGTTGTTGGCTCTCCATCTAATTAGTGTCACAAATGCAAAGAAGTTACAAACAAGGATAGGAAATTGAATGTTATCTTGCCTCAATCTTGTCTCTTTTATAAGAGAGATTTTCATCTTGGTTTTGATGGATGTCGTTGATGAAAAACTTTGACTTTAGCTGATGCATTTGCTAGATTCCTGGATGGCTCCCATGTGCGTTCACTAATATCATATCCACGCCAATGAACAAGATATTCTAGCTTATTTCGGCGCCGCCTTGAGTCTAATATCTCTTCCACCTCAAATTCTTCATTATTATCTACTTCTATAGAAGGCGGTGGCATTTGTCTTCTTCCTTGTATATCCACTGTCTTATATGGTTCAAGAAAAGACACGTGGAATACAGGATGGATCTTCATTGACTCCGGTAGATGTAACCGATATGTAACTAGGTTGATCTGTTCAGAAACAGAAAAGGGGCCAAGCCTACGATAGTCCAACTTGTCACAAGGTCGACTAGTCTTGATATTGCGACGAAGTAGCCATACCTTATCACCCACGTTGATTTGTGGTTGCTCCTTACGATATAGATCTGCGTTTACCTTTTGTCATTCTTGAGCTTCCTTCAATTGCGTCTTCATTATTGCATGTAACTCTGACAACCGATTTGCCATATCTTCTGCTACAGGATTATCAACTTTTGAAAAATCAAAAGTATCAAGTCGTGGATGATAGCCATAATTGGCAAAGAAAGGTGTTTGTTGCGTGGAAGAATGTACCATATTATTATAAGCAAACTCTGCCAATGGCAGAAAGGTTGTCCAATCATCTTGTTGATAGTTGATAGTACACCTTAAATATTGCTCCAAGACTTGGTTTACGCGCTCTGTTTGTCCATCAGTTTGAGGATGGAAAGCCGAAGATAGCTTTATGTCCACTTTTAAAATCTTGAAAAGGGTCCTCCAAAATCTTGACACAAATTGAATTCCCCTATCTGATATGATATCTTTAGGTAATCCATGATAGCGATAGATATTATCAATGAAAAGCTTAGCTGTTTCTTCACTTGTGATAGATTTTGTACATGGCACAAAATGTGCCACCTTGGTGAAACAATCTACTATCACAAATATAGAATCATAAGATCTTGAGCTTGGAAGATCTGTGATGAAATCCATAGAAACAGAAGACCATGGTTGTTCTGGGATAGGTAATGGCTGAAGAAGTCCGTAAGGTCGATGACGAGGAATTTTTGATCTTGAACAAATATCACATGATTGTACAAAGTCTTTGACTGACTTCCACATTTGTGGCCACCAAAAATCTCTTGATATGAGTTCCAAAGTCTTATTATATCCAAAGTGCCCTGCTGCTGGAAAGTCATGACGTGCTTAAAGAACACGTAAACGTGCTTCTCCTTCTGGAACATATAGGCGTCCTTCAAAATATAATAGATTATTCTTGAACTCGAACTTAAAAGGATCATGAGACTTGAAAGAATTATTCTCGATATCATAAACAAGAGGGTCTGAGGACATACAGGACTGGATTTGCTTGAGAAAAGTTGAATCAACCGTCAATGTTGATTTCATTGCTCGGAGATGAAATTGCTCCGGTTTCAAGAGGACCGTTCTTTGTTGCTCAAAAGCTGCATCTCCTTCTTTTGGTGCAAAATAAGAACGTCTAGATAGAGCATCGGACAAACCTTGTTGTTTTCCTGGCCGATAAGTGATAATGAAGTCGAATCTTGATAAAGACATACTCCAACGAGCTTGACGACGATTCAACACGCGTGCTGACATGAAATACTCGAGGTTCTTGTGATCTGTATATACAGTGACTGGACTAGAAGCGCCTTCTAGATAATGACGCCATTCTTGAAAGGAATCCACGATCGCAAGAAGTTCTTTATCGTAGATCTCATAATTGATCTCGGCTGCTGAGAATTTTTTTGAATGAAAAGCTATCGGATGAAGTTTTTCATCTGTTCCCATTTGTGATAAAACTGCACCCAAGGCAAAATCTGATGCATCTGTTTCCATAAAAAATGCCTTGGAAAAGTCAACACGATATAAGACTGGTGCAGAGACAAACGATGTCTTCAAGGCTTCAAATGCTGCTTCCGCTTCTTGATTCCATTGAAATTTATCTTTACTAGTCAAGCGTGTAAGTGGAGCTGCAACTCGTGAGAAATCTTTGATGAAGATCCGATAGTAATTGGCAAATCCCAAGAAACATTGGGCATCTCTTACCGTCCTTGAAATCTTCCAATCCATGATTGTTTGGACTTTCTTAGAATCCATCATGAGACCATCATTTGAAATGATGTATCCTAAAAAGTCAACTTGAGTAGTGTGAAATACACACTTTTCCATCTTGGCGTACAATCCTGCATCTCTAAGTTTTTGTAATACTTGACGAACATGTATTTCATGTTCTTCGACGTTCTTAGAATAGATCAGGATATCGTCTAGATAGCAGACGACAAAATTGTCTAAGAATTCACAAAATACATCATTCATGAGATGCTGAAAAGCAGTTGGTGCATTCGTGAGTCCAAAGGGCATGACATTATATTCGAAATGTCCATACCTGGTTCGAAATACAGTCTTCCATTCATCTCCTTCTTTGATCCATACTAGATTATATGTTCCTCTTAGATCTATTTTTGTATAGATCTTAGCTTGATTCAACTGGTCAAGGAGCCTTGATATCAAAGGTAATGGATACCTGTTCTTGATTGTGATCTTGTTGACTCCTCGATAATCAACACACATTCGTAAAGATCCATCTTTTTTCTTTACGAATAAAATTGGAGCTCCTGCTGGAGATTTTGAATGGCGTATGAAATTCTTCGCTAAATTCTCGTCAATATATGTCTTGAGTTCAGCCATCTCATCTTGCGATAAACTGTAAATTGGTCCAAATGGTGGCTGAGTTCCTTCCTTGAGGTCGATTGAACAATCATATGGGCAATGTTCAGGAAGAATATCTACATTTTTTTTCTCAAAAACGTCTTGATACTCCTGATATTGACTTGGAATGCCACTTGAAGTCTTTACGTTTTCAGAAATAGGTGCAGCATAAATAGCAAAAGTTGATCCTTCTTTTGCTGCGTGTATAAATGCTTTTGCACCTATCAGTACGGGTTTTATTATACTAGACTTATAATTTTTTACTTGGTTGGTAGAACTATTAATAACGCTCTGAGAAAAGTCAAGTTTACGCAAATTCCAATCTATTCGAGGGTTATATTTTTCTAGCCAGGATAAACCTAAAATAACTGGATAGGACGGGGATTTAATTATGTTAAAAGCTATGTAGCTATCATGACCGTCTATTGTTACTTTTATAGGATGAGTTTCATGAGTGACATCTCCAGAAGACAAGGGAAGACCATCTATGACTTCTACATGTACTGGTTTAGGTTTCTGTACAAAGAGTATTTTACGACTTTTAACAAATTATTCATCTAAAAAACATGCTGAGGCTCCCGAATCTAATAAAGCACAGGCTTTGTAATTCTTAGGTCCTAAATATAAGTCTATTATAAAACAAGGAGAGGGTTTTGAGGAGAGGATAGGACCTTCATTAGGAATTGTACAAGGTTCCAACTGCACGGTCCCTATTGTAGCTGGACGAATCCGTTTTCCAACATGTTGTCTTCTTTGACCGTCGTACCCCTCATTTTATAGTTGCGTCGTTTCTTTGGACAATGTTGAGCAGTGTGCTTAGGTTCTCCGCAATATAAACATAATCCTTCTTGACGACGACGAATCTTTTCTTGCTCAGTTAGGGGTTTAAAACGTACCGCGTCAATTTTCATGTCTTCTACTTCCGAATGTACATTTGGCAAAGATGTTGATGTTGCCATTGAGTAATAACGTTGAGGTTCCCGAGAATGATTCTTAGATCGAAATTCGAAAAGTCGATTATCACATTTTACCGCAAAATCGATTGCTTGACTCAAAGTTTGAGGATCAGGTAAGTTGAGCATCAATTTCTTTACTTCGTATTGCAATCCATAAAGAAATTGACTAATGAGTGCAGCATCATCCCACTTGATGTCAATTGCAAGTTGTCGAAATTGTGAAGTATACACTGTTACTGAGCGATTTCCTTGTCGCAGAATTCAGATCTTATTTGTTGCAACACGAGTTGCATCGTGTTCACCATACATAGATCGAAACTCCGCCAAAAAAGCTTCCAAATTGTCCAATATTAGATTTCATTGTTCAAGAAAAGATGAAAACCATGATAATGCAGAACCAGAAAGTAGAGTGCCAATAAACCTGACTTGTGATCCTGGAGTTGGATAGCTTTGCGGTTGAAGTTCAATTGCCAATTATACTTGATTGACGAACCCTCGAAACTTAGATCTCGTACCATCGAATTTCTCGGGTAAGGCAATTCTTGGTTCTCTAGTGCTTACAGGGTGTTGTACAATTGGAGAAGGAACGTGATTTGTTGTAGATGTTGAAGCAGCTCCGATCATCTCTATATCCCCACTTTCTGCTATTCTTGTTCTTTCATGTCTTGGTGAATTGAGTTGATGCATCGCAAGCATTAACTTCCTCATTTGCTCTTGCATTTGTGCCATTGCACTCTTCATTTCAACAAGCTCTGTCATAATGACACTAAGAAGAAAAATTTGTTTGATACTGCTCAAGACAAAAGAAAAGAAAGACTTGATAACAAAGAAGATACTAAGAACAATATCAGTTTAGAAGTGGGTAATCCACAAACTTCTAATACGCTTATGTCTTGTCAAGAGAAAGGGGTAATCCACTCTCACTCAAGAAAAATAAAGCTCTGATATTGTAAGTGCACTCTTGTCAATCTGTCAAGGACAAAGACTCGATGAGGGAAAATATACACAAAAAGGCTATCCCGATATAATAAGTCAAAATATAAACAAGTAGGTATATTAAAAGGAAACTGGAATGGCTATTGCCACAAGACAAGAAACTAAAGACTCTTGAACTTAGACTAGAAGCAAGAAAGGAGTTGACAAGAGTGAAGAAGCCTTCACTCTTGTCTCTATATATACTATCTAATTAGGAGCTATGTGGCGACATTCTATAGGACCTCCAATATGTGTTGACTTTGTAGGACACATGCCTTGACTTACAAGGTAAGTTTTTCTACGTGTGGGCCACATAGTTAGCTTGATCTTCAAGCTAACAACATGTGTGGCACATGGCCAACTTGTTGACCACGTTTCTAATCCAAAAAGTCAATTAAAGACACGTATGAAGTCAAAGCAGCATCTAGGAAGTTTCTAGGAAGCTTCTATATTAAATATTATAGAATTAACTTACTTTTATCTACTTTTACTTACTTCTACCTATTTCTATATGTAATTATTAACTTACATGATTATGGCCGTGACATACATTTATTAAAATGATAATTAAGACAATTAAGACAACTTGCAAGTAATTGATCAAATGGCTAAAATATGTAGCCAAAATTATTACTTTTAACTACATGAATAAAAATATAAATGAAATTCAACTTTTATCACAAAATTTCTTATGGAATTAGAGTAATTAAATGCTAATGTAAAATTTTGGATGTGGTTGTATGTATATTTCTTTAAAAAAATTTAAAATTTTTAAAATAATAAAGTAAGACCACTTCTAGCTTAGAATTTTTATTAAAGTGTGTTTAGAGAAAATGTAAAATTAAATAGTAATTAAAGTGATTTGGATTATATTATAGTATATTCTTGGATGTTTATACAATCCTTGAAGCATTAAAAATCAACTTGATGTTGAAGACTATTATAAATATTTGTAAACTAATTTTTCAAAAAACCATTATACATACATTTTTTTTAATTAAAAATTGAAAATTTTGGTGTGAGATTACAGGTAAAATCAACAACTGTAAAAAAAACAAGTTTTAAATGATAAATAGAATTAAGACAATAATCTCAACCAAGCCATGGTGGTTCTTAAGAAAAAACAATACATATTCAAATTTGGTGAAATTTTATGTTATTTATGCATTAGATATAAAATATACAAACAACATAATTATTTATATATTTATTTGTGTATATATTTTTAGCACCTAAACAATCTAAATATTATATATATATATATATATATATATATATATTCATGTATATACATATATAAATTTATTTATAAGAAAATATTAAAATGACCCATCCATTTACTAAATCAACCCACCTTATTGTGGGGGAAAGAGAGGAGTTTGGAAATGGGGTGAGGGGAACAAAAGGGTTGGGATGAAGAAGGCTAGGAACAAAGGGTGTGTGGATTGGGAATAGAGGGAGCATGGGTTGGGAATAAAGGGCAATCCATTTTTCTAATGATGGTTATGATAGGGTGGGTCAATTTAGTTAATGGGCGTATAATTTTGTTATTTCTCTATTTATATTCCTATAAAAGATGACAAGTTTTTTTTTTTTACAAACAATAAAACATAACTTAAGGATTTTTTTTCTAAAATTTGCACTAAAGATTATATCCTCCAAATGTTTTTGAAATACAAGGAAAATTATCAACAAATAAAATAAAATACCATAAATAAATTTGAATAAAGACTTTCACCTTTATACTAGTATTTATACTATCAAAGTTTCATAATCATTAAAAAGGTCAAAGGCGTGGAAAAAGTTTTAAAAAAAAATACTTGATAATTTCAATTTTAAGTAGAGAACAAAAAAAGAGTCAAAGACAAATCTTAAAATCATGTCAATTACATTATTCAATTTTCATACATTCAAAGTATGATTAAAACTAGTATTTTAGAAATATAGCTTAAAATTTCATTTTTGGCAATAATAAAAGCTTCCAAAAAATATTCCTTGCATTTTTATTTTTATTTTTATTAAAAGTAACAAGGATATCAACAAACTAAACTGATACAGTTTCAAAAAACTAATTAAAAAAAAATCAAAGTCATAAGTCTTCAACTTCCCACTTTCAAAATAAAAATTACAACCAAAAAATAAAGAAAGGTGATACACACATTTTATACAAACATACATTTATACACATATTTACACGGAAATGAACACATCTGTACAGGTAAACATTTATATAGAAAAAAGATAGGAATCAAAATCAGAAACTTGAGATCCAATGAATATTATTTCTAATAAATTGCCCGAGCACAGTCACAATTCTGATACTATCCAAAATCACTAAAACTGTTCCCCGATCAACGACGTCAAGAACACACACACACGCACTTCGGTGAAACTCATGCGAGCGAAAGAGAGACTAAGTTCGAAATCCGAGACCACCCCTCCTCGTTATCGATCGAATCCAGTCCAGCAATCGGCCCAACCACGCACACATTCCTGCACACACACACACGATAGTCCTTTGGGACACGAAGAAGAAGAGGAGGCTGGGTTCGGCACTGAATGAATCTGTGTGAAGAAGGTTTCGGGGGAGAACAGCAATGCATGAAAACCTTGAGAGAGAGAGAGAGCCCAACGTTGTAGCTAGCTGGGTGTGTGTACTACCTGTGTTTCGTGTTGTGAATGCAGACGGAGCTTTGTGATGAGGCCATCGCTGGAAGAGCGCTCTTCCTGCTCTCCCCCGTGCCATTTCATGACACGGATACACTACCTTGAACACGTGAGCCAGCTTCCGCGGTGCCGCTGGCTTGGCCCTGCTCATGAGAAGTTGTGGCAATATCTGCGCTGACTCCGCGTATTCCACAGCCTCACACACCCGACTTGCAGCTCTCTGGTGGTTGCGATCAGTGGAAGGAAAAATCACCTTGAATTTGTGAACGATCCTGGGCGGAGCATGACTGGCGCTTGATGTGCTCGGCAGCTGCAGTGGTCGACGACGAGGTGTGCGTAGCCGGGTTACAAGTTCCGGGTGTCGATCGTGGCTGGTCACTGGTTCACGATGCTTACAGTCCCCTACGGAAGGGTATATTCGGAGCGAGTCAAGGTTTAGCATACCGGTTAATAGGAGGTAATGTACATGAGGATATCATTGCAATATGGAAGGAACGGATTGCAACTGAGAATACCTACGGTATTGTAGTACCTATGAGTGTCGTCTCCGATAAGGATTGCAAGTGCACTGGTCTGAGTTGAATTATTCTCCCAGATGGGAACAGATCCGATGAGCACAACGCTAGGCCCTGCTGATTTACCGAGGGAGAGCTGCGCTTGACGGACGATAATTGTCTGGCCATTTGAAACCTGTAACACTTTCCAAAGATAGTGTAAAATTATTCCTGCCCATGGAATTGCACTGCTGACTTACTATGGTTTAGGACAAAATATAAGCGTGCTGCACAATTCCGCGTGTCTTTCGACTGTGGATGTCCGCAGGATCAAGATGACACTGGCTTGGTAGGGCAAACACTAGGGTCCCGTACTTTCAAATATGTGGTAGAGGTAAATTTAAGGCTTTCCAAGCCGATTCCATAGACGGGATAACAGTAAGAATTCCTGTTGGCTGCCCACGCAAGGTAGATTGTTGATTATTTCAAGTTCGGAAGCTATGTACGATCAGTATATCGTTAGAACCAGTAATTGCAGGTCTCAAACGTGAAATAATGCTTAGATATGGATAAGAGCATCATATTATTGGACTATCAGGCTTTTACAGCTCGAGCAGATAACGATGTAAAAGATTCGCTCACTGAGAGAAGACGCTCTCAGAAACCACATTCCATTCACGGTCGAAATCATTGAAGGACAATGGTGCATTCGACATAGGCCAATCCATAACAAACCAACCATACAATTTCACGACTGCGTAGACTGGATGTGTCATACGAGAAGGAAACTGTCTTCACGGAGGGCTGACTCTATTTTACAGGAAGACATGATAAGGCATGTAGATCTCACTAATCTACGAAAATCATCAGTATGCAAACAAGTCATTGCATTGCTGCTACACATCGCATTGACATAACTTCCTTTCATGTCATGCTCCACGGTTATGAAGCAGTTAGAAAGAGTCACCTCTCCAGCTCACGGACTCTCCCTTGTTTGACCGCTTGAAAAGACATCCAGCCTTTAGCACGCTGTATTAGCGATGCCCCTGACCACAAGTGACAACGTGCTGTCAGAAGTATGTTCAGAGAAAACAATTCTGGACCACAGAGCAAGATTGGCATGGGTCTGATGCACATGTGTAACATAGATGCATCGACTTGCGTTCGAGATAATATAACTACATTGCAACATTAAGTAGGGGAGAACACGACTGCATTGGATACTCCAGCCGAAATTCGATAGGCAGAAAATTGAAGACATACTCAGACAGAAAAGATAATAGTACCTGAATTTCTCCGTGACAAACTTCGGTTGAGGGTGTGTCCACTCGAAATGTTCCGCAAGAACATGACTGCAGCAGGTGCACAAGGAACCTGGTCATTCTCTTTGTCCAGTGATTCAACTGGACTAACTTGTTTGGAGTGAGTCGAGGGTTTCTCTTGTTCATTTGTAAGGATGCCCAATTTGGGAGAAGACTCAACATGAGAGTGAGGTGCTCTGCACTGCAAGTCTTCCTCTTTTTCATAAGCTCCATCCGCCACAGTAGATCTATTCGTGACGCTAGTGTTTGCGTCCACAGATAACGGACCTCTTGAGAGTTGGTTCGGTTGTGCAGGCGTAGCGGCTGGAAGTCGAGGTGGCGACCTAACTTTGAGAACATCAAACATGGTCACTATGGAACTGTTTCGGGGTCCATCCAGGGGCACCATCTCCACGTACCGTGAAGGGGGGACCACGGAGGACTTTTTGGATTTATATTCTCGTTTAGTCGCCTCGCTGGTAAAAGTTGATTTAGGAGCAAGTTTACTAGCACCTTCTCTTTTAAACGTCGTTTTCGAGATAGATGACGACAGTGGGTTAGCAGATGCAGCACCACTAGATTTCGTTGGCTCTCTGTGAACAGGTTCAGGTGATTTCGGAAATTGATGAGTCAACCAGCTATTTCGCCTCCCGGTTGTGGGAACAATCTTAACCGGTGATGGCCTTGCTCCAGATGGCTTCCGCGGGGAAGACAGATACACTGGATTCGAGAACAAGACTCCCTTGGTGGGAGTTAGCTTCCATGGTTTCGTTGGTCCCTTGATTTCAGTTACTATCATTGAATTCCTTCTTGGACCTGATAGCTCGTCGTCCGCATCATCTGAAAACTCCCTGAAACTTGCACTTGGAGAGCTATATAATCTGTTGGATCCTCGCTTCATCTCTGGGCTATCCATATCCAAACGTGGTGATCCTGGAGACAAAGTACTCGGTGAGGACGACATGCTCGAATAACTTCTTGAGGAGCTCCTTCGCTTGTGTGAAGCAGAAGCGCTCTTTGTCTTGCTCTTGCTCTTGTTCGGGAGGTCTTTCGTGCGTGTTATCTTAGCGGGTGGAACCAACTTGACAGTGGTGTCTGAGGGAAAACCAGCTACCTTGAACTTATTAAAAGAATTTGTTGGAGGGGCTTTGGCGTTCATGGTCTTCAACACCTGGGCCTTGCTTGGAAACGCAATATCTCTCCTCTTTCCGTCTTTGCTAGCCCGCTTTTTGGGTTCTTCAGTTACATCGCCAAGTTGTTGAGTCCTTTCAGGTCGCTCTTGAAGGGCTTCCGCAACGAGTGTAGCGATCTGTTTTGCAAACTGACTAGCCATCAAAATCTCCGAAATGACATCGTGCACCTGGTTGGCAGGTGATGACCATTGCTTCCACTCAGCTGGAAAGAAAACAAACTACAATCAATCAGCTTACGAGTCGTTGATTGATATAAGACTTAAGTAGTAAATGTAATATATTGCATCAGTCCTCCATGTGTAACTAGTAAACAATTGCTTGCGGGTCGCAATCACTAATTGCAACTGGCAGTTACTACGGTGTTGCGTAATCGCCATACGCTTTATTACAGACTGACGATTAGGGCATCACTTGGTTTGATCCGTGTGAGTGATGTTAATTCGTATCATGTTAGAAGCAAACTAAACGCCGGGAACAGGAAGGGGGCAAAGGGGGAACTTAGGTAGAGTAGTAAGAAAACTCAGGTGGAGATACCTTTCGTTCTCAGCGGTTGGTCAAGCTTCTCCATCCTGCTTCCATTGTAATCTTTCAGGGGTTTTCGTTTGCTTGCGTCTGCACATACCCAAACATCGACAAGCTACACGATGCCTTAGGCTCGGGCCCATAACTGAAAATAAATGCAAGTCCATATGCAGGGACTCAGTTACAAATATGTTGAAAATGCTACTACAAAAGGTTCGTATTACTATCGGGAAATCATTAACACTTTAACCCAACTGGTCCTCAGCTCTAGTAGAATACTCGAGAGGATGTGGAAGTACGGGAGGAGGAAACGACCTCGATGTCCAGATGGCCCAACATATTCCTTTCCAACGCTGTTTCCTCTAGAAGTTCGGCTTTGCTTGGAATAGACAGGACTCAAGTGTATCCCAGAGATGGTTGTCTGGAGACTCTGGAGACGCGCAACCACCTGTTCAACCTGTACCCAAGCCAGCATGAGTTGAGCTGTAAATTCACCGCCGCAATCCATGTTATAAAGCCCAGGTCATAAACCTTTTCGACTGCTTCGCTACGTGATCAGAACCTCATGATGAGAAATGAAATCCGCCAGTCACGAGGCTGCAATTCCTAACCGGTACAATGTTCGCCTAGTATCCCAACTGTTTTCCAGGAATCTCTGATGTGAAGTTCTTGATGTCACAGAGGATAAATGCTAGACCCTTTCTTTTGAACTGAACGAGTACTTCGTGGCCTGTAGACGTGATAGGGAATAGAATTCGGTGGGAAGTCACTTCGTGTTCACTACGAATGAACAAATTCACTTCACATGAACGCAAGTAGAAGAGGCCACGAGGAAGGATTCGATTGAGAGTTTCATCAGTATTAACATCAAGAAGTGGAGGCGTTACCTTCTGAACTGCTTCCATGAGCACAGGCGACGGTTGCACAGGCACCCCCGCCTCTAGCTGCGAATCCACTTCATGCTCCATTTTCAGACCTGAGAATTAAGCTAACATCTTCTAAGGTGGCCACAAGTCCTCGAAGTCAGCACCACGTCGAAAAACCTAATCTTCACAACTGCAAATCTCTACCCAAATACCAAAACGTCGAGCCTCTAGAACGCAACTGGAAATCCATACACATACATTGAAACTACAACGAGGACGGTGAGCAATACTCGATACGGAAAGCTCCACATACAGGAAATAATCTCAGCAAGAAATCTCGACATCAAGAAGGAGCAAAAAAATACCTGGTACTCCACTCGCACGCTCAACCTCAACAACTCATCAATCCCCCAATTAAATTCATGCGGAATTCCCTCGAATTCTACTCCGTTGTCGCTACCCAACTAGAATTGCGCTCGGAATTCAAACGCGGGGAACACAATCTCCCGCTACAACACCGAAAACTACGCAATGCCGCACACGACGACCCATGAGATGGACGGTAAGATGGTAGAAACACTTCAGGTCCAAAATCTACAAGAAGCCAACGAATCACTGCCACTCGCATCCCATGCAAGTAATCCCTCGCTGCATTCCACAAGTGCAACCGTCTCATCAACTGGATCGCAACGTCACTATTATCGTGGCTTCCGATGCCGAGGGCCGCCAGTCAGTCAGTCACTGGAAGAAGAAGAAGAAGAAGAAGAAAGGGGGGGTAAAGAAATGGGGTGAAATAAAAAAAATCAGAAGCCTTAAACTATCAGATCTGGAAAGAAATAGGGCACCGGGATGTTCCGTTGGTCTTAAGAGACGTTGGGAACGGGAAAGACAGTAAAGAACGAAAATGCCGGCGGAACGTCCAAGACCAATAGATAGAATTTTGAACCATAACGGTCGAAATCAAATGGATGAAAACACGTTCGTTGGGATCTCCTTCCAGGGGAGTGGCTGAGGGGTTCTGTTCAGACCGCATAAAAGGGGTTTGGCTAATTTTATCTAGCTAATGTCGTGTTAAGTGATGATTAGGGATGGTAATGGGGGCACTCTGTAGTCTTCCCTTTGGAGATAATCAAAATTTGGCAAGTGATCTTTGTTCCCTGATTAACAGCTAACGTGGTTGATTTTCACTATTTTAAAGATAAATTTTGTTGCTAATAATGTGAAGATGGTTTCTGAATGGAGAATTGGATGGGTAATGAGCTACTTTTATATTTTAAAACAACTTTTTAGTGGCGACACGTGAACGATAAGATTTACAAACGTGTTGGTGACTATTGAAAGAGCATGCAGGATTCTTAAGTATTTTGGTTGCGTTTTGTTTTATATTGTTTTTTATTTTTGACACAGCGGCGATATACCCTATATATGTAATTCCCAAGTACTTTCAAAATGAAAACTTGCAAGTACAAATAACATTGGATAAAAATGTAGTCAGCCATGTGTATATTGTTTTAGTAAATATTCATTTGAGTTAATACTATAAACTACTAACAAACTTCGTGTGGGAAAAAACACACGGATTTATTGCCGTTGTTAGCGGGAATAGATTTATTATTATTATTTTCAAAACAAAATCATTGTATTTCCATTTGCTCGTTGATATAAGTTGCTAATTAAAACTTCCTCCTTAAACCAATACCCAAGGATGAAAACTCCGACAATCTAATTGATCTTGTTTCTGTTTATTTCCTTTACAGTCAAGAAAAATGCAAAGATTGTGAAGTCCACTGGTTGCCAACTCTTTCCTGTGATTCTAAAGTATTCAATACTTAACGAAAACATAACTTGAAACCCTTGTTGTAAAGAATATGTAACAAAAAAAATCTACTTATACTTATACTTATACTTATACATATATACATACATACATACACTCAAAAAAATGTGCAAGTAAGTTTTTAAAACTAAATTCTCTCGCTCTCTCTCTCTCTCTCTCTCTGTATATATATATATATATATATATATACACACAATAATCAACTGTCTTAAATCTCTAATGTTGTAAAATATAACACTTCAGATATGTAAAAAACTATACTCACACAAACAGAACAAGTTATTGGATCATGGAATTTAATTGTTGACCTTGTCCAAGTAAGGTGCATTATATTACATAAGAATGATGTATGGGTGAAAGTAAATATGTCATTTTAATTCAGTTTAAATAGGGGAAACGTTAATTAGACCCATGCTTATACTAAATTGACCCACCCTTTGCTGAAGAATATAGTAATATCACCTGAAATACTACTATCAATTCTTTTGACTTGTAAAAGATCATCTAACCTACAAGTTATAAACATGCCAATATATTATTATTCAAGAATTTTTTGAACTGAAATACTACTATCATTTTTTTCAAAATGATTGATTTTATATATTAAGAAAAAAAAAATTTCTAAAAACAATTTTTTTATAAAATGTAATAAATTATATCAATATAAATAATTTTATTCATAGAATATGTATGGTTATACTTTTAAAAATTAACCTGGTTCAACAAAAAATAACCCATGAAACTCAAATCAAAGTAGAGAATTCAATATCTTATAGCACAACAAGTCTGTTTAAGGTGCACAATGTATGGATATATCAAATCAATTTATTGGGGATCTATTTACACTAATTTTATCTATATTTACATTACACGTATTGATTTTATAAATATTTTATGCTAAATTGCAGCAACATATTTACATATTTTACTTTATTCAAATAATTATTATTATTAATTAAAAAATAAAAAGTGGAAAATTGTGAATAAAGTTTAAGGAGATAAGTAAGAACTCACGTTGAAAAATAGATTAGATAAAACTCTTTTGTAGTTGAATTTGAAATTACAATCATAGAACTTAGACTTTGCATGCATTTATAGGAGGTTTTTGTAAATATTTATATATTTTAATTTAAAAAACTACAAGATTACGTCACTTTCACTTCAAACTATTTTTGATGTTAATTTGTTAACAATAACATACTTATGTGTTTACAACATTGTTTATTTATTTTTTACACAAAAAAAACTTGGTTGTCCAATAAGAGGATTGTGTATTCTATCAACCATGTTTTACCAAGAGCACAAGTGTTTATTATTCCAAATACCAATATTGTCTTCTACTTAGAAAATTAATTGTGTTATTGTTGTTGAATTTCTTCGAAATCATAGTCATTGCCAACTGAATGTGATGTGTTGAGTTATAAGATACTTCAATTCAATAGTACTTAACCATTGTGTGTACAGAATTGATATGTATGTAAATTTTTATGGTTCAAATATTGAATATGTTGTTTGTTTGTAAAAAATGAGTGTCATGATTGTAAAAAAGTCATTTAAAAAATGATTGTAAAATTTTATCTATTGTTCTTTAAATGTGTCAAATATACTGAAGTTAATTCTCATTAAGATTTAAAAGGCATTGCAAAATTGAATTCTGGTAACAAAAGACATAAGTTGTGGTCTTTAATCTTCAAATTCAATTTATTTCGGATCATGCATCAAGTCTGTGCTTTCAATTATTTTTCTATAGAGAACAAGCTTAGCACGTTAACTTGCATTTTAGTTTATTTTGTATGTTACTTTGTTAATTTAAAAGAATTATAGCACAGTACACACACTTAAAAGTTTATTGATGTTATTTGTAATCTTGGAAGGATTATGACAAAGCCAAGCATATCAAAACTTTCACACACACACACACACACACACACATATATATATATATATATATATATATGTCATGGTCCTTTGTTTTCTGGATTTAAAAATACCACATTTAAGATCGTACAAATCAGCAAAGTTTTGTGGCAATTAGCACCTTGTTTTATTTCACTGTGCAATTTCATTTAGCATAGAAATTATCAATCATTTTCTGAATTTGTCTTTCAAAACAGTTAAATTTCTTTGCTTTGCAACATTCTTAATACTCACTTTGTCAGCTCTATGCTTTATTTGTTCTTGCACCTTCATAAAGTCCAAAGGACACCTCATCCTTCATGGTCACAATTGTACATATGTATATTTTACCAGGAAGTTTGGATTAGAGTTGATAGAACAACCAAAGTACTTGATCTTTGACAATTACAGTCTATATTTGGAAGGTATCCAACATTCTCAATAAGAGTCATCTTTTACAACTCGAGTTGTAAAGAATAAAGAACAAATTGTAAAAGTTACAATCATCTTTTTGACCAACTGTGTGCTCAACATCACATTTTTCCTTTTTTAAAAAAGTGAGGGTGTATCCATGTAACAAGGAAGCTCAGGTATGAAGGCAAAAAGACAAAGGAGCCTTTTTCATTGGCCAATAGCATAGAAATTATCAAATTTATAATATGTAAACAATTTTTTTTGTGCCTAATAGCACAAGTTTTTGCTAGTATCTCTCCTATGAACTAGTTCAAGGAGATAAACCAATGAAATGAACCAAAGGAGACAAAGAAAAACTATCTATGATTGACTGCATATCTCATTGTTTTTATCAAAAGTGAAGAATGCTTCAACTTTTGATAACTATTGGATAAAAATGCTCACTTTAATTGGATAAATTTTTTCATGGCCAATAGCATGGGTTTCCACTTGAATATATATGCATATAGATATGTTTGTATATCGCACACATTTTAAGGCACCAGAGCCCTTGTGATGCATCGAAAGTTACTAGATAAAGGTGTTTCTGCATTAACGCCCCTCATTGTAAACAGTACACGCACGCTGTGGTGATGCAACATTGGAGCTGTAACTCTGTCTATCACTCGCTCACAAAGGCGGCGACGATGTCATGGCGGTGGTGATGCAAAAGCAACCCTGACGGTCGTCTTCCACGCATCAATGCAACAAAATATCATCATGCTCACCCTCCCTCCCTCTGAGTGCAAACATTGTTCGGGCAGCTGCTCTGGAAAATTCACCAGATTTTCCAATTCAAGCAACGTCGCCGAGATCTCATCATGCCAGTAGCAGCCCCAGCAGCCACGTCATGTTGCCCACTGTTGAGGCAATTAGAACCACCGCCGTCATACTTACAATCGTGCTCCCTCCTTCTATTCACGCAATCTCGCTGTCGCGGATTTCCGTCTACAGCGTGCGTCAGGAATAGATCGTGAGATCCAAATTAAGAAGCCTCGGCGACTGATTGTATGCTTATCTGTAGGGAAGGGAAACTGCGAGCGGGATCTGGCGTCATGCTCCTTGCCAATTCATACACTGGAAGCATGTGTGGATCGGCAGAAGCGTCAACTGCAGCATGATTGGGTGCCGGAAAGAAGAGTTGGCAGTAGCCATGATCCCGATTCCCGCTGGAATCAGGCATGCACTCCGTTTTCGATGTGTTCGATTCAGTTCATCTCGGTATCATTAGAGATTGTCTTGGAAAGTAGTAAATCCTCCGAAATGGCTTCATCTCGGTATCATTAGAGATTGTCTTGGAAAGTAGTAAATCCTCCGAAATGGCTTCATCTCGTGGTGGCTTGTCTCGCAATCTCTACAACGGAGCAGCTTGCGATTCCCCGAGTCCCCGAAACTGCCTTCGAAATTCGAGGGAGCATTATCCGACCTGCCCCAATTTCGAGAGTTAGAGTATAAGGTTCAGAGTTTAGGGTTTAGAGTTAAACCCTGAACGCTTCGACTTCTTCAGTTTGCTGGCCAGAGGATACTTTTTCCTTTCTTTACTAATGCTTGTTGGGCGTGCATGGTTGTGTTTCTTTTGATTTGCA